TTCACTTAGCCTGTATCTTTTGACTGGGGAGTTCAGTCCATTGATATTTAAGGTTATTATTGAAAGATGTGTATTGCTTGCCATCATTTTGATTGCTGCTTTTGTTCTCTGTCTAATTTTGTGTTTCCTACATTATACGTTTGTTTATTTTTTTTCATTGGCCCTGGGGTATAGTTGTTTCTCTGCTCTCTATATTGCTTCAAGTATCCTTTGAAAGGCTGGTTTTGTGGACATGTATTCTTTCAGGCTTTTCACGTCATGGGAGATTTTTCTTTCCCCCCCTCAACTATAATAGACATTTTTGCTGGGTAGAGTATTCTGGGCTGGCATCTATTGTCATGTAGAACTGGAAATACCTTGATCCAGGGTCTTCTGGCTTTCATAGTTTGCACTGAAAAGTCAGCTGTAATCCTAATGGGTTTTCCTTTATATGTGATTAGCCACCATGTGGGTGCTGGGAATTGAACCCAGGTCCTCTGCAAGAGCAGTTAGTGCTCTTAATCGCTGAGCCATCTCTCTAGACATTTTTGCTGGGTAAAGTATTCTGGGCTGGCATAGATTGTCACATAGAACTGGAAATACCTTGGTCCAGTCTCTTCTGGCTTTTGTAGTTTGTGGTGATAAGTCAGCTGTAATTCTGATGGGTTTTCTTTTGTATGTGACTTGTTGTTTTTCTTTTTCTGCTTTCAGTATTCTCTCTTTGTTCTGTACATTAGTGTTTTTACTATGATATGTCATGGGGAGTTTCTTTATTTGGTGTTCTGTATTGCTTCTGGTGTTTGTATGGGGATGTCTTTTCCTTAATTTTGGGAAATTGAATTCTCTTCTACAATACTGTTTAAGATCTGGTCAACACCACTAACCTGAAATTCTTCTCCTTCCTCTATTCCTATGATCCGTAGATTTGGTCTTTTCATGGTGTCGCACATCTCTTGTGTATTCCATTCCAGTATTTTTTTTTAATTTCCATAATCTTAGCTTGAGTGGTCTAATTCTTTAAATTTATCATCCAGTGTTGATAC